ATTCACAAATTATTCAAGAAAATTTGATAAAATAATAATAAATAGAGAAATGATTTATTTTTTGGATTTTTCTTTTTATATACTTTCTTGATTAATATTGTTCATTTATGTATAGGCAATGAATATGCTATTCATATATCCACTAATTACAATATCAGATTAAAAAAACATAGTTACTGTACTTAGGACTAATGAACAGGCTTATCATAACCTAGCACACTATACAAAAAACAGAGTTGGCAATAATCACCATAGACTCTGTTTTTTGTATGTTATCCAATTGAAATGGGTCAATAAGGCCAAAGTGCATTTTAGAGAGGTTAATTAAATATGCTGGGAGAGTAATAAGCTTGTTCATTAGTCCTAAGTAACTATGGGTACATTCGTAAAGTCATGCGAGTTAAACGTGTTAGTAGCGAATCGTTTGAAAAGTAGTAGTCTCACTCAGTGTGCATGCTCTGCAGTGATGACGTGGGAAAAATAGATAACAGATGCTACTTCCTTCTAGGGAAGTTAGAACATCCTCTGTTTTTCCCTTATCTGCGAAAAATCTTGCTTTGATGGGAAATGTTTACCCCTCACATATTCCCCTTTCTGCCTGTTCCCACAGAAGAATCTTTGTATGATGACTGGTCGCCGATCGTCAGATATAGAGGAAATTTATCAGAATTCGGGGAGTTCATCGACAGACCTGGAAGAGTCAGGACTCCACACATATTGCTCCTAAAGGCCAACGCCTATGCTATGAGCCATACAATATACGAAGGATTAAGTCTAAAGATATAAATGTATCAAGTTAAGTTGATCTCTCCAGAGGAAAGAAGACAGAGAATTATAGAAGTGAAACAAATACTTCATATACAGAGCCAAAGTTTAAAGACAATGATCAGGTTGTATGTTCTTAAATGATTTTGTGAGCTCTCTCTCTCGACCTCATATTGGTTGTAGTATAAGTTCGTATCTCTCTTGACTTATAGATTGAAATTCGCATTTATTATCTCTCATTTATATAATATTTTGTATTAGTTTTAATTGTTTATGGTTTATTAAATTTATTCTTGTTTATTTTATAAAGAAATGTCTCTCAATTATTATTGGAATAGGATTTCCCCACGTGTGTTTATCCGCGTGTAAAACAACTGATAAACTGGTGTCAGGCCCTGACGTTTGGATAGAGACTTCACAGTCTTTAATCCTCATTAAACAATAAATATTACAGCCCTCCTATAAAAACTTTTAAGATCAGATCTCACGATTCAAAACTCTGAGAACTATTCTCACGGAATAGGCCGAGTAAGTGGCACCCTTTAGCAGGTGCCCCCGGCTATCTCACATAAATAAATGAAATTATCAGAAATAATTTCTTTAACACCTCTATTCTTATTTGTTATTACGTATTCAAAAAGTTTAAGTAATCTATACTAGCTACTTGTATCCATAGTCTGCTATGGTTTTACCATTTTAATTATTAATTATTATACTTAAGCAAGTTAGGAGAGAGTTTACAAAAAAATGACAAAATTACCTTCAAAGGTCATGGTAAATGGTTGTGATATTTGTTGTAAATGTCTTTGAACTAAAGTATTTATGTCTATATCTGACTTATGAATTATATATGTCTTTACTCTTATTCTTTGTAACATTTTGGAGGAAATAGTACTCTCTCAAGGAATGGAGTAAAAGTTATATTTTACTATCAGAAAAAGACAAATGGAAGATGTCTTCTAGAATAATAGCAACATTCTGTAGACCTGTAAATATTATCATTCTTTTTGAGTCATTGGCCATAGAATCTTATTAAAACATCATACCAATAATTGTATCAAAGGACTGTATTTGTTTTTTTGAATTTTGATAGATTATCTTTATTATATTTTGCAAGATTTTTCTCAAATGTTATTCCTTAATTGTACATATTCAGGCTTTTACAAATAAATAGCTTTTTTGCATTATGTATAGTAATTATTTCAGGTTTTTCACATTAATAATGATTTTTATTTATATTTATTACCCATGCAAAGTCCAGGCCTGGCACTTTCAAACCCTCGTTTATGTAATGCACTGTTGGATATTATCCAGACTCTTGATTCAATAGATAAGACATTACAACATTTTTTTTATCCGTTTCTAAAACTTTTTGAACACATCTTGTATTTTTGGTTCACTATTATGTATGATATAAAAATCACTTATATGTGTAACAAAAGGCTTTATTATACACATTATTAATTTATTATTAATTAGAAAAGAAAAACTCCTGAGTAGGAACTAAACTAGTCCACAAAAATACATTATAACCTATTTTTTATATAATTCATTAAATTTTTCAACAATCAAAAATGTGTGATAGCCAGATGTAGCAGGCTGGTTGTACTTTTATGATGCAAACTCAAAGTTGCATCAGAGTTGACTCAAATTTTAATGAGTTCAGACTCAATTCTTCAATAACCTGGCCACTCTCATTGTGGATCTGGTCAAATTGGCCTGTAAAGTTAAAAAAGTGTAAACTTAATCTTAGAACATTCCTCAAGTGAGCAATAAAATTTTAATGCAAAGGCCAGCATTTATATGTTGTTATTTTTTTTTCTTAAATAATTTTTTCTAAGTTATGTCTTTTGTTCCAGTGTATTTTATATAGGGGAAAAACAGTAATATATTCAATATTAAACAATTTAAAGTAATAATTTTAATTTTGTTATTATTTTAAAAATTTCAAAAAAACATTACCTAATTTCTCTTTCATAAAACGAATTCATATGATTTTTTAATTTTTGAACTTCTTGATAAGTATTACTTCGAATTTGATCCATCTCATGCTTTAATTTATCATCATATTCAGCTCTAAATTTATCTCTGTTAATACAAAAATGATCTTAGGGAAATCCTTAAATAACAATAAACAAATATGTTTTATTGAAAAAAAGAACTGAACTTAAATTATCCAAATGTTTGTAAGGAAAAATAATGAGTAATTTAAGTTTTTTACTTTTTATTGACAAAACACATTTTTTTTATTGTTTAGATATAAAATTTTTAAAAATTACTATTTTGTAATTAATTATATAATTTGCTAAAGCACTTTTAAATTTTTGACAATTCATAAAAAGATAATTGAAATTATAGCAAAATAAATTCAACAGAATAAAATAATTTATAGACTCTTTAAATTTTCATTAAAAGTTTTTTAAAATTTAATAACTACATATTTCATAATTAAATAATTAATATATATGTAAGATGTTATATTTAAAATAAATTGTTTAAACAAAGAATTAAATTTACATGTAACATACCTTGCACTTATAAATTGATTAAACATAGTTTCACGTGCTTGTTTAGTACGTTCTAATTGAAGCATCAATTGGGACGTACGATCTTGTGCTTCACCCCACTGTTGAGTTATTTCTGCTAATTGCTTGCCAAACTGTTCACGCTCTTGTTGGAGTATTGTTTGCTGATGTCTCATTTTCAGAATCTGAAAAATTAATAATAATAATAAATAACTTTGTTTTCATTACATTTCATTTCATGTTTAAAGCACTCCTAAAACAGTAACTTTGCATAATGTAATAACTGGTAACAACTAAATCACCTAAATGGTAACAACTCATTAATAATATTAAATAGAGTAAATAAAATAACAATTAAAACTAGTTCTTGTTCCATTGACTAACAGCAAAAAGTCATGTTAAAACAATTAAAAAATGTATAACTTGAAAATTAATTAATTATAATTATTATTAATAATGGATGTGGCTATTTATACATACAGTGCTTTTGATCTTTAATGACATAGGTAGGTAATTTTATTTATCATATTTCATATAAAATTCATTAGTTATCTAAGTGTTCAACAAACTTTAGTTTTGATAATATTTTACAAAATATTTTTTTTTTTAAATTCACAAATTATTCAAGAAAATTTGATAAAACAATAATAAATAGAGAAATGATTTATTTTTTGGATTTTTCTTTTTATATACTTTCTTGATTAATATTGTTCATTTATGTATAGGCAATGAATATGCTATTCATATATCCACTAATTACAATATCAGATTAAAAAAACATAGTTACTGTACTTAGGACTAATGAACAGGCTTATCATAACCTAGCACACTATACAAAAAACAGAGTTGGCAATAATCACCATAGACTCTGTTTTTTGTATGTTATCCAATTGAAATGGGTCAATAAGGCCAAAGTGCATTTTAGAGAGGTTAATTAAATATGCTGGGAGAGTAATAAGCTTGTTCATTAGTCCTAAGTAACTATGGGTACATTCGTAAAGTCATGCGAGTTAAACGTGTTAGTAGCGAATCGTTTGAAAAGTAGTAGTCTCACTCAGTGTGCATGCTCTGCAGTGATGACGTTTCGAATAAAACTCTAATAAAGCTCACAAAGGAAAGTTAGTTTACTTCATTTTTCTTAATGAAGTAAACTAACTCTTTGAAAGTACTAACGAAGTAAACTAACTCATTTTCTTTAAGAAGTAAACTTCTTAAAGAAAATGGCACCCAACAATATCAATGTTTCTAAATCTACTCAAGTGTTTAAATTGTGAATTAAAAAGTGAAATGATTGAAATAACTGTCCACCCGAAGCAATCTAAGAAAAATATTTCAGATAAGGCTGCACTAGCAACATTCATATCTTTGATTTTAGAAACAGCCATTTAGTTATAAACAAATCGTTTGAAAAGTCTAAGAAAATAAAATAACGATGATGTCATTCTTGTTTAACTCGTTCAACTTTACGAACGAACATT